ATATATATATATATATATAAATAGAAGTGAGATAGAAGTTAAATCAATCACGATGGGGCAGTCCAAGACCAAACTGCATATCATCACATGCGGTCTTGACAACAGCGGCAAGACGGCCATTATTAATCAACTCAAACCAACACCATTGCGTACAGAACACATCTCCGCCACTGTTGGATATAATGTTGAGACCTTTGAAAAGAGTGGGGCCCGCTTTACTGTATTCGACATGGGCGGCGCAAAGAAGTTCCGTGGACTATGGGAGAGTTATTACGATAATGTGGATGGTATTATCTTTGTTGTGGATAGCAGTGATCATCTTCGGCTCTGTGTAGTAAAAGAGGAGATTGAGTTAATGCTGCAGCATCCCGATATTAAGCGGGAATTGCCTGGAGGCGGTGAGCAAAGAATCCCTGTGCTCTTCTATGCAAATAAGATGGACTTGCCGGGTGCCAAGACGGCGGCGGAACTCGTGGATTTGTTGGATCTCACTACACTCATGGCCGATCATCCGTTTAATATTTTTGCCTCCAACGCCCTGCAGGGCACCGGCGTCGCCTCGGGATTTGATTGGCTGCAGAGTACACTCATACGGCAAAAGGAATCCGCCGCACAGGCGAAGAAAAAGAAGTAAATAACACACTCAAGATTCTCTAGATCTATTTATCTATTTATCTATATATATATATATATATATACTGGCTGTGTTTGTTTGTTTGTTTGTGTCTGAGTGACTAAAGGGAGAGGGTTGTTGTTGATGAAATTTTTTTTATTTTATTTATTCATGTCTGTTGTCGTGGTTGTGGTTGTGGTTGTTGTTATTGTTTTTTCTTTCTTTCTTCTTTTCATTCGTATTTTCGACATGTATTTTCGTGCGTATATGTTTCCCAATCTCTCTCTCTCTCTTTCTCATATACAGACAGAGAAAGAAAAAGAAAAAAGAAATGGTTCTGGTTGGTAAAAAGAGAAAAGAAAAGAAGACAAACAACACTATTATTATATACCCTCCTTGAATTGCAGGAATAAGTCTCACCCCCTCCCCCTGTGTATAGAAAAAAAAAAGAAAAAAACATGTATTCTTGTTATTCTCATTCTTTTTTTACTTTTTTTTTCTCTCGTCATTATTCTGATTGATTCTATTCTTATTGCCTTTTATTTCTTTTATTTCTTTTTCTTTTTCATATATATATATTCTGGGGATTTGGGATTATTTTTACCTTTTGGAATATCTGTAGCTCTAGTGGACCTTTACCGATATATATTTATATCTATATATCTATATATATATATATATATATATATATATATATCTATATACATACATACATACGATCCCCTTATTAAAAGGCACTAAAAAAGGGTCATGACGAACACCAAAGAGAACAAGAAGAAAACCCCCAAAGGGCAACAACAACAACGAGAAGAACAGGAACATACAAAGACCATTGATACGGTTGCAGCCACAAATGGAGAGACAACAAAAACTGTAGAAGAAGAATCCCATCCTTTTCTTGGGCATGAACTGCGAGTGGAGTTATCCGATCACCGTGTGGTGGTGGGCACTCTCATTGCGTACATGGGCATTGGGGATTTACTGCTGCAGAATGCGGTGGAGCAGCGACGGTATGCGGACGGGGAGTTAAGTTGGCGGCCACTCACATTAGTGGCTGTGCCCATGCGATTTATTACCGCCATGCACCGTCGACTGCCGGACTGCGAACCCATCGCCCTCGTGGAGGCGTAATGAATGAA